AGAGGTGGCTGGCAGCAGGTGAAATGACCATTAATAATGTCACTTCACCCGGTCTGACAGCCACACCCTGGCACTGCGTGTTCTGGTATCACTGACTCCTGCCCTGAACTTGTCCTCTTTCATCCGCAGCTTACGTCGTGGCCGTTTACCACAGCATGAAGGAGGAGCTGCGGCGCAATGCCCCAGGGAGCACCCCTGTGAGGAGAAGGGGTGCCAGCCAGCTCTCCCAGGAGGCCCAGGAGGCGGCTGGAGCCCTGCCTGGTAAGTGAACCTCATGTACCTCCAGCTCCCTGGGTTCCCCAGATCCCCTCTGTGTCCTTGTCACCATACCAAAGGGGAGCAAAATCCACATTCCTTTTTCCAGGAATGATCACCTTCTCCCAAGAATATGTGGCAAATGAGCTCACTCAGAGTTTCTTCACCATCACCCAGAAGATCCAGAAGAAAGTCACAGGCTCACGAAACTCGACTGAGCTCTCGGAGATGTTCCCTGTCCTACCTGGGTCTCACCTAGTGCTCAATAACCCAGCGCTGGAGTTCATCAAATACGTGTGCAAGGTGAGGGTGCCAGGGGGAGGTGCGAGGAGAATGCCACGTGCCTGTGGATCTACTCTGGACACGCCATCATCTGAACCCACCACCTGAGCTACTGCAGCTCGGCTTTGTCTCGGTCTCTGTGACTTTGTCCTAAGTCTTAAAACACTCCCGTGTGGATGCTGTGACTTGATTCTTGTTCAGGATTATTTTGACTATTCTAGTGCTTTCCATGTAAAATTCTGAATCAGTATATCTGCTGATATCACAAAAAGTTCTGGAATAGGATTGGAGTTACTCTGATTCTTATTAATCCTGGACCTTAACGCTGAGGTTATTAATTAATTAGAGAATTAGTTAATTATGTAGATTCTGGGCCCGAATGCTGAGGCTCCTGGCCCTTAGGCTGCTATAGAGCAGGCCTTCTTCAGGCCTTTAGTCTCCTTCATTGGGGCTTTGGGGTTACAACATGTAAATATTACACATACTTGCCCCAAGCTGGGCCCTGCCTAAGCCTCAGGTGGAAGCAGTGGCTGCGGCCTATGCCACTGTAGCCCAGAAGGGTGGGAAGGCTGCTGAGGGTGCTGCCCTTGAGCCTGGCTTGTGGAGCCCATGGGTGTGGGCCGCAGCTGGTCATGGGCTTCTGTACATCGGTACATGAACTTTAGGAAATGTCTTTCTCACATACCAGACACTGGGTTCTTTCCTTGTGCTCTGGGGGGTTGCTGGGCTGGGGCAGGAAGAGGGATCTGAGGTGGGTTCAACCCCTCAGGGTTGAGCCAAGTCCTTAGCCCACAGGCCCACCTGGCATGTCTGGCCCAGCTGGGTGCCAGGGTAGAGGGTTTGCTACCTCCCCAGGTCTCGTCTCTGCCTGAGGAATCACTTTCCAGGCGTAGGGACCTACCTGTCACCATTGTGGCCTGAGTTCCATTCCTGGCCAGGGTGCTGACCTGTCCCATCTTGCCTGCTGCTCCCCTCAATAGTGTGTTTCAGCAGATTCACCTGCTCTGTTTCCCATTCTCTCTCTGGTGAGTCCTCTTACCCCGACACCTCTAGCCTATACTCCAGTTCTTGTACATGCCAGAAAAAAGCATGTTCTTTCGCTCTTCCTCATGCAGTTTGTTCCTGCAGTGCTGCTGCTGACATGGCAGCGGGCCGCAGGGGGAGGGGCAGAGCCTCTAGGACACTCATTACCCTCTTGCATCCCCAGACCCAGTCTGACACACCTGCCAGGGTGGCTTCCGCTGCTGGGGCTGTCACCCTGCAGGCAGGCAGTGAAGCTTCCACCTCATGGGTGAGGAAGGAGCCCTGAGCAACAGGTGGAGTAGATTGGCATCCAGAGCCCTGAGGGCTGAGCAGACCCCAGGGCGAGCCCTGCATTGGGCACCACTGCCTCAAGGCAGGCAGCACCCTGAGAGGCCGTGAGGTAGAGTGACTGCTGTGCCTCTGGCTCAGGATTGCCAGGGGAGGCCCAGGGCCATGACCAGTCTGCTCCTCACAGGTCCTATCTCTGGACACAAACATCACAAATCAGGTGAACAAACTGAAGCGGGACCTGCTTCGCCTGGTAGGTGTGGGTGAATTCTCTCCAGAGGCCCAATTCCAAGACCCCTGCAGCTCCTGTGTGCTACCTGAGGTCATCTGCCCCAGCTGCAACTTCTGCCGTGACCTGGACCTATGCACACACCCCTTCTGCCAGGTGGGTGCTGCCTCAAGCTGGGGCGAGGCCCTGTGCCTCCCCTTTTCTGGGTGAAGCCTGCCAGGCCCCTGAGAGTGGGGCCAACCCCTGGAGGGCCAATGAGGTGACCTGTTCCTGGCCTTGCTGTCTGCCTAGGATGGCGCCGGCCCGCCCCGGTGGCTCTGCTCCAACTGCCAGGTGACCTACGATTCTGCAGCCATTGAGGCAGCCCTCGTGGAGGTGCTACAAAAGAAGCTGATGGCCTTCACCCTGCAGGACCTGGTGGGTGGTTCTCCCCTGTGGCTGCAGGCTAGCAAGGTGGCCCCAGGGAGGGCGCTGGGGCAGCTGATGGCCTTTGGGTGAGCCCCACATGAAATCATGTGGTTGCTCCTTCAGTTGGTGGGGACTGATGTACACACACCCAGAACCATTTGCTCTCCCACCAGACCTGCCTGAAGTGCCGCGGCGTGAAGGAGGCCAACATGCCCCTGCACTGCAGCTGCGCTGGGGACTTCAGCCTCAATGTCCACACCCAGGTGAGGCCAGCACCTGCCCTGGCTCCACCCATCCCAGCCCTGCAGCAGCGCTGGGATTAGCCTCACTGCCTTTGCTCTGCCCTGCAGGTCTTCATGGAACAGATTGGAATCTTCCGAAACATAGCCCAGCACTTTGGCATGTCGTACCTGCAGGAGACCCTAGGGTGGCTACTGCAGAAACACCCCCAACTGGGCTATTAGTGTGCCACAGGCCCCTCCAGCCCAGCCCCTGACTGGTCAGGGTAGGATGCCCAGATACCATCCTCAGGAGCTCCAGGGCCATTGTGCCCAGAGGTGCAGGGTGAGACTCCAGCCCCTTAGGGTGCCCTCAGGTTACCCTCCTGAACAGACCCTTTGGCCTCGCCCTTCACCCTCTTCTCAGGAGCCTTGGATCCTGCCTTGAGGGTGGGTTCAGGTTGGACTGGTCCCTGTGTCAGGGGTGCAGTCCCCACTCTCAGGCCCACTTGTCACCACGGAGAAGTCACACATGTCACACTGGCAAGATGGGACCCATTTCCGGGAAGCACAGGTCCAGACATCTATCCTGCAGCAGGCCCTACCCAAGCATCAGATGTGAGCAATGTCTGCAGCCTGTGCCGCCACAACCCCAAGGCCTGAGTGGGGAATGCCTCTCGGGGGCCACACATGAGCCTGGCCTGCATGGCCCACGGGTGTGGGTTGCCGGCTTCTGTATGTCAGCGTCTGAAATTAGGAAATGGCTTCCTCACATACCAGACTCTGGGTTCTTTCTTTCGGCTTTGGGGGGGTGGAGGGGAGATGGGCTAGACTGGGGCAGGAAGAGGGGTCAGGTGGGTCCTCCTTCTCTTGGGATGGAGCCTTCATCCCACAGGCCCACCTGTGCACCCAGGGTCCAGCCAGGTGCCCAGGTAGAGGGTCTCCTTCCTTCCCAGATCCCTCCTCTACCTGAGGAACCACTTGCCCTGTTATGGGGTTGGGGGAGCTGGCCAGGGCTTGTCTTCCCGTGCCACAGGGCCCTCTGTTGAGCTGCTCCCCTCACCTGTCATAGCCCCCAAATAGAAGACATCACACCTCATTTTTGACCCAACAAGATGGAAACAGGAAAGGAAAACAAGTGGTCGGTTGGCTGGGCACAAACCCATGTCAAGTGTGAGCTGGACTGGGGATCCCAAGCCCAAGAGGCTGGCAACTGGTACCCTGGGCAGGCGGTGGGTTCTGGAGGCTCTTCAGTGGCTGATTCCTCTTTGTAGCTTCATTTTGATGTCTCAGTGTAGGTGTGTGCAGCTGCATGGGGAGAAGGGGCATGTGAGTCCCTGGTGTATGTGGGAGTGAGGGCCTGGAGAAACCTGAGCTTGGCCGGAGATGGACGAGCTGCTTGGTCTGGTGGAGCTGAATCTAATTAGGCCAGTGGGGAGGGGTCAGCCTGCTTCTTGGAAGCAGCTGGAGTCTTCACCACCCCGAGCCAGAGCAAGGGGGAAGGGCAGCCACTCCCTGGTCAGATGCTGCTCCCTGGACAGCAGCCCCAGTCCCACTGCTCAGAGGACAGTTAGTCTGGGACAAGGGGGGGGGGCCATACCCTGGCCCTTCATACTTGCAAACAGGAAACCTGAGTCCTGATCTTGGTTCTATTGCAGCAGCAGCCAGTCCCCAACTGGAAAAGCCAGTTTCTAAAAAATGGGCCTAAGGCCAGACATTAAGCAGATACTTAATGTCTGGGCACCTGTAGAGCGGAGCATGGAGGCAGTGGGTGGGCATCTGTGTGCTGGCTCTCAAACCTGGCTGCCCAGAATTGGGCCAGGTGGGTGGGCCAATGTTCTTACCCCCCATCATCTGAGCCTTCCCTGGTGGGTCCAAGAGACAGTGGATCGCAGGTGAGACATGTTGCTCAGCAGCCACCCCTGTCCTGTGCCAGGCCCGCACTGCCCAGAGAACTGCTAGGCGCGGTCTCCCTTGTGGGCCTGGCCAGACAGGCGCCAGGCAGCCACTAATGCAGTGACTGCCAACTTCCAAGGGAGCAGTAACCAGATTACTGGGCCGCCCGCCCCACATCCCCACAGCCTGCACAGGCATGTGGACTGTGCAGTGCCCTGGGCCTCAGCATCCAGCCCTCCAGGCACTGCCACCAAGCTGGGGTTTGATGGGTAGCCACACCAACTGAAGGGGCCCTTGGGTGCTTGGCCTCTTACCATTACACCCAGACTGGCTGGAGAGGAAGTTGAACCAAGGGTGGCACCGAGATGCTTCCCCCAAAGAACCAGCCCAGAGTGTTCTAGTTACAGGTTTATTGGACACCAGATAGGATTTCTGGTGGTTGGGAGTGGTAGGAGCAGCCACTCCCCACAATCAGCAGGGAGGGGCTAAGAACAGGGGCCACAGCCCCCTGCCCAGTCACTCAGGGGTCCTTTACCTCCTGGCCTTGTGGGAAAGGCGCGGGTGGGCTCAGGCTCAGTCTTTTGGGGCTCCCACCAGGGTGGGACTAGGGTGCTGGGAAGCACGTCACTCAGAGCTGGGCCAAACCTCGAGGGTCCGAGGGCTGGGAGTCTGGGTGGGGAGGTGCTGAGGCACAAAGCTCTGGTCCTGCGCCCAGCTCAGGAGCATCCACCATCTGCTCAGACCGGGCAGATGTGGGGCGTGGCCCTAGGGCTGGTGGGGCAGCTGGGCTCCGGCTCTGCCCCTGGTCCATGGGTGCAGGGGCCAGGCAGGGGCCCGGTAGTGGAGGGCCCTGGCCCAGAATGAGGGCCAGGGTCACAGGCCAGCTGCCTGGGGAGGGCCTTGGTGCACACACCTTGTCAAATTTCTTGTGGCTGTAGACCTTGTTTTTGTTCATGAACGTCAGCAGGATCCAGTCACACAGGAAGGAGCCCTGGGGTGGGCAGGGCCAGAATGTAAGGGTCTGGGGCCCAGGGTACTGCCCCCACACCCCCACTGGCCAGCTCCTTACCACCCCAATGGAGGTCAGCGCTGTGGCCAGGTTAATGATGGTTGGGATCAAGCTGAACTTCCCAGCCTGGGGAGGAAAGGGCACCTAAGCAGCTGGGCCTGGGGGCAAGTGGGGGCAGGACTGGGGGTGGGGGCTTTACCTGCCCATGCACAATAACGTCAATGCGGATGCCGTAGGCCTTGACGAGCGTGCGGGCTGTGCTGCCATTGGTCTTATAGTACTTGGCAAACCTGGGTGTGAGGCCAGGGCTTGCTGGGAGCACAGGTGGGCCACCCTTCCTGTGTCTGCCCTGTTTGCTCCCAGGGCAAGCCTGGATGAGGCACTTGGATCCCCAAGCTGAGATACCTGAAGTTGTAGCCAGAGGAGGCAGGGACGTGCTTGGGGTCGAGCCTCCTGAAGGAGTACCGGGGGTTGCACCTGGAGGCCGGCAGGTCCAGGTCACAGTCCCAGTTGATGATAACCCCAATAACGCCGCCCTGCTGGCCCCAGTGGGAGAAGGGCATCAGTGGAACTGCAGTGCTCTTCAGAGCAGGCGTCCCTACGGAGGCTGGCAGGGGGCATGTGGCAGGCAGGGAGCAGCCATGGGCCAGAACCAGGGCGCCTGAGAAGGGATGCCAGCGGCCGGCTGTGTGACCAGGTCAATAATTTAGCAGGGCCAGACACCCTGATGGGTGATCATGTTTCTCTTCTCTGCGGGTGTGGAGTAGGACCCTAGTGGGGCAGGGCCAGCCTCACCGTGTGTGCCAGCTCTGTGAAGTTCTCCCCAGCCTGCTCCACGATGAAGCCCAGCTTGAAAATGGGGCAGTAGAGGTCTGAGTCAGCGTGGAAACTGCAGTGTTTCAAGTAGCCGTCCTCGCTGGTCTCGATGTTGCCCCTAAGGCCAGCCAGGGCTTCAGGAGGGCAGAGTCCCACACCCCCCTGAGGCAGCCCACACCCTCAGGACCTTACTTGGAGAACTGGAATTTGGGGTAGTGGATGCTGTTCTTGATGAGAATGGTGAAATTCGGGGCCATCTTGCCAAGAAACTGGCTGAGGAGGCACAGACTGGGTGTTAGTGGGCCGGGTGGCCCCAGTCTTCCTGTTGAACACCCACCTCCTTGGCAAAAGTCATGTGGGACCCTGCTGGGGCTGAGACCAGGTCCCAGGTAGGCAGGTTGTGGGCACACCTGACAGCAGCCCCGTCTTCCACAGGGCACCAGCCGGACACTTCGCAGGTCCTGGAGTCCCCATGGTAGTAGGGTACACAGCGCCCAGTGCGCAGCCCTGCAGGGGGAGCACACTCAGTCAGGCCATGCCCTGCCACCATCCCCCCAAAGCTGCCCTGTGCACACTGACCGTTTCCCAGCATGTCCAGCTGTCCAGCCACACAGTCTTCATCTGAGTCACAGGTGGCATTTCTGACCTTAGCACTCTGGGGAGGGGAAGGCTGGGTCAGCCTCCTACCAGCTCGCAGTCCTGTGTCCTCTGCCACCCAGCCCACCTGGCCTCCATCCCCTCCTTACCTCTGGACAGGTTCCCAGGGTCTGGGAGGAGGTGACTTCGATCCTGGTGATGATGCTGAATACACTGCCCCCCTGGGTGCAGAAAGAGGGGTGTGCATTAGCCCAGCAGGAAGTTCACCAACAGGGGTGCCAGCCACAAGTGGGCCCAGGGCTGGTTGGCGCACCTCAGGGGGCTTCACATACTCCTCCACGTCCCACACTTTATGTTCTGATGCAGTGATACCCTTGACTTTGGTGATGACGGAGCTCTCCGGGCCCGTCTCGCTGTCCTGATAGCTCTTCTGCACGATGAACACGTACCTGCAGTAGGGCAGGGTGATTCCAGAGAACACCCCGGGTGCGGGCCCTCCTGTGCTGGATGGGCTGCGTTGCTGCTCCCGGCTCCCCTCCCCCCCCCCAGACCCCCGCATCCTCCTACTCCTACCCGCTCGGGCTTGGGGAGCCTCCGCCCGCCCCGCCAGGGAGTCCCTGCGTTCCCTTCCACGGAGCACCCTCTCTCCCCGGAATGGCCCGGCGCACCACACGAAGTAGAGCAGGATGAGCAGCTGCACTGCTCGGTACACGATGCCTAGGCGCCGGTTCTTCACCACGATCACTTTGGGCGTTTCGTAGTCCCAGAACGCGGACCAGCAACCCCCGGCTAGGCGCCGCGCGGCGCGGATCCCCGCTCGAGTCTGGGGTTCCGC